AACATGTTACACTCTTTGACTATGGCCAATTTTGATTCAAATTGTGTGCATGTCAAAAATCCAACTCATTTAAATTAAAACTAAACCAACAAATAGTTTGCTACTAGAGTTTTAAAGGAAAATTGTCCATTTTTATTGGGTTTAAAGTTTGATTCAAACGCTTAAATTCCCATAAGTTTAAAGAAGTGTCGGGGGCACCCCTTCCCTCCCCGCATTATAAACATAACTATGGGTTAGCCCCCAGACCTTCCGGCATGGGTATGGTTAAACAACGAATTTGGGGGGGATTCTGCAACGTGAGCTTTGGGGGGGATGGGCACCCCTGGTAACTACATTTTACAACAGGCATTTTGTTCGCCTTCCCAGTATAGCTATGGTAATTTCCTGAATCAACATTAAGATTAAGGCATTGTATTGGCGTATCCAGGTTTGGATTGGAGCGCCCTGGAGCAGAAATTGCCCAACCACCCCTCTCCAAAATTGAACACCATAAATATATAGCCTAGGATAGTTTATTTCCCTCTTAGTAGTCTTTGTTGATAAACACTTAAACCACAACGTTCAACGTACGTCTATTTTCAATTGACAATAAATTACAAATTATTGCATAATAGTATGATGAAGGTAGTTAATAATATATTTCGGAACTCTATCATAACTGTTTTTAGGCAGACTCTAAAGATAATGAGACATTGACAGTAGAAATACTGGTGAATTTATCGCTATGTGATGAAGGGGCTGCCGCGAGACAGTGGTGATCATCTGTAGAGGCAGTAATGAGTGCAGACTGCTGAGAGACAACTGGCGTACATCCATAGTTTGTTAGTACTTAACTAGTCATGTTGGTACAGCTTCCTTTTTACTTTTCATATTATTTATAAAGCAGTTAGGTTCAAAATGCAGTTCACACACTAAACATGAATGTAAAGCAGTGTCGGGAAGGCCTTTCCGTTTTTTGATTGCCATGTTTGCCATTTATCACATACACTCGTCTTAATACCTGGTATTGTTCATGAAAATATCCACATCATAATACAATTGTAATTCACTACATATAATACTACACTTATTCACTCTTGCTAATCCATCTCCTAATAAACCTCCTGTTACTTACATAAGCAAACAACCACAAATACTGTAAAGGTTAACCGTAACAATAAACAACAACAAAAAATACTATTCTTAAACGACATGGTATATTAGGTGAGGTCAATACTTCAGTATGATAATATTTTTGTTGGGCATCACTCACCTTATTGAAGTCACGAGAACGTAGTCCTTGTCATGTCATGATTGTATGATTGTGACATGACAAGGACTACGTTCTCGTGACTTCAATAAGGTGAGTGATGCCCAACAAAAATATTATCATACTGAACAAAAAATACGTAAATAACAGCTGGTCATGTCGGCAATGAAGTCTTAGGTTGGGAAGACATTCTCTAGGCTTCGCATGGAAATTGATATCACAAAAATGGCTTGGCTGCAATATATATTTTGCAAATGTAATCTTTGCTTTGATATTTTATAGGGAAAATCACAAAAGATGATTTAACTTTTCAACTGTGATTTTCACAGCAGTGGGGGTTGCAAATTTTTTTAAATAATTTTATAATAGAACTATTATTTTAAATGGTAATTTGTTCTTTACGATGAATAATAAAAGTGTATACAAAAATAAAATAGAATATTTTACTCAATTGCCAGTGGATAAACAATGTTTTTTTTGTGTTTTCTGTAGGTGTATAAATATATAACGTTTTCAGTCATACCTACCACCAAGTGAGCACGCAGCATACAGCTGTCCGTGTGAAAAGTATGCATTTTCTACATTTAAACCGACGATAGTCAGGGATTGCCCTGGTGCCTTTATAATGGTGATTGCGAAAGCAAGTCACAAAGGAAATCGTAGTTGCTTAAATTCTGAGGGTAATTTGGATGAAATCAACAGTATTCTTGGGATTAAGTCTATTTCTCCTTTAAACTTACCACTGATAATTTTTGCTTCAATCAATTTTGGTGTCATTTTTTAAATTGTGTAACGTTGCACAGCTTCGGTGGATTTAAGTTTCGCATTAGCATTATTGGAGTTCTTTTAGTGACAGTAATGTGGTGGGTTAATGACAAATTGAGAGGCATTTGAATACCCAAGATAGCACGCACGATAATTTTTCACTTAATAATTTATGTTAGATTGAGTGGGTATAGAACAAAATATAAAAATATTATCACGTTCACTGGTGTTTTACACAGGCGCTCCTAAACTGCGGCGAGGCCTGGGCGGAGCCCCGGCACGCTTACTGAATCAGCGATCGCTATTGTTATGTACCTTGGACAATCTTCAAACTTCAAATCTATTAATTTACTGAGAGTTGCAAATTTACTATGGTACATTGAGTTCCTCATCTATGTCTTCAGTTCATATATTAAAAATAAAAAAATAAACTACTTAAACACTTTTATTGTGAAAAACTTAAAAAATTGTTAGAGCCTAAATGTTTAACAAATTACTGTTTACTGTAAAAGCTTATTATTATACAGTGTTATATTTATTATAACAAAATTATCATACATTAATTATTATAACAAAAATTATACAGTATGTAAATGAAATGTTGAAACCGATCTATATTTTTTTAACCAAAATAGATAGAAATATTCTGTTTTTGGCATTGATTTTTAACAAAGAATCTGCAATTTTTTACACTAAAAATATTTGTTAACCCTCCTAACAGGGTTGTTGGCAGGGGGTGACTTATTTTTTTCAAATTTCAACTCCTATTGAATGACCCCTCATTTCGGTGGGTTTGTAAAAAGGAACACAATGACGCAAACCCTAGTTGCATATCTCACCCCTAGCCAAAAGGGCAGGTATTCCAAACATTTGATTCATGTGAAAAATCAACAATTTCAAAAATAAAAAAATCTGAGTTTTTATACCAAAATAGTTAGGAATATTCATTTTGTAGCAATTGATTGTTAGCAAAAGTTCCGCAAGTTTTTGCACCAAAAATTTTTGAACCCCCTTAACAGAGTAGGGGGTGGAGTGACTTGTTAAAAAAAAAAAAAAAAAAAAAACAACCCCTATTGAGTGACCCCTTATTTTGAAGGGTTTGTCAAGACATAAGCAATGGTGCAAACCTGAAGTCGATATTTCATCCCTAACCAAAATGCCTTTTCACCCAATCAAATTTTTAAATACCTGCCATTTTGGCTAAGGGTGATATATTGACTTCAGGTTTGCAACATTGCTTATGTCTTGACAAACCCTTCAAAATGAGAGGTCACTCGATAGTGAAAAAATACTCACCCTTTACCCCCTACCCTAATAGGGAGGTTAAAAAAATATTTTTGATGTAAACAAAATTGCAGATCCTTTGTCAAAAATCAATACCACAAACAGAATATCTATTTTGGTTTAAAAATACGGATTTATTTCAATACTTAATTTAGACACTGTATACAGGTTGTCCTACGTAACGTGTCTCAAATTGATTACGGAAAAAAGGCTTAACCCTTTAAGTCCGCGAATGAGTAGAAAAGCAGTGGATATATCCGCCACCCGTCTTTGAAGATATGACCATGACAACGTTAGGCAATAAATAAAGAACAATATGTGAACAATAAATAAAGACAACGTAGGAGGACATGTTGAGCGCGAAACGTCAAAGGGGAGAGTAGGAGAGGTGGGTGGTGCGAGGGGAGAGGGTGAGGATCGGGAGAGGGTAGGTGCGTGAGAGAGATGGGGTGTGCGGGAGAGAGCTCAGCCATGGAGAGAGCAGGAAAGTGGCGCCTTGGTACCGCGAAACATCTGTTTACTGCTCAAGCACTTGCCAGTCTGTCTGAAGAGAAGGCGGATATATCCGCTTCCCGTCAGGAACATCAAAAACCATAAGCGGATATAACCGTCACCCGTCCTTTATCACTAAAGACTTAGGCGGATATATCCGTCACCCGTCCGGGAAGGGTTAACATACAAGGATGAAATGAAATTATTTCCTGCTAAATCGACCCCAAGGAATAACGTAAATATTTTTCCGATACAGAATGTGCCAAAAACTGACGGTCACTAGTTTGATTATGTAAACATATGTTATGTTGATGTTATACATCATTTTAAAGGTATTTAATAGACAAACATTTGGGCAAAAATATAAATTAAATTAATTATCTTTCATCGTTTCAAAGTGGCAGCAGTTTTTTTTTGGGAAAAATCAATATGTTTTCAATACTCTGTGTTTCCTACACCAATGCACTTAGCCCTTGTCCTGGTGAATTTTCTTACTCATGATGAAATTAGATTTACTGTGATATGCTACAAGTAACGGTTTGTTGAAAATATGTAAACACCGAAACGCAGTTCAAAATTTTCAAATAGCAACAAACCTCAAAAGGCACATCATTTTATAGGTTTTTTATTTCTTCACAACTTTGTAATTTATACTTACTTTGTATCTCTCTTAGTTTTTGTGTAAATAACAAAAAACATAATTTTCCTTTATCAAATGCATGTTATTTGAGTTAAAACACTAATGAAATGGGCCCATTAGTGTTTAACCCAAATAATAAAACAACTTTTCAATTTTTTTCTCGAGGTTGCCGTTTTTGAGAAGAATATAATTTACAAAAGTATCAACAAATAATTTTTGGGTAAAGTAAAAATTCTGAAACCATACAAATTAATTAGTTATATATGAGTGTTTGTATTGTATTAAAGTTTAAAATGTTCTGGCGTTTAGTTTACCTCGTGTGAATTTTCGTGTGAAGTCATAAGATGGTTTTTGATACTATTCATGGGGTTTGTACCATCCGTCTGTCATAAAAAATGTTCAGGAATGTGTAGAATAAAACAAAGGAAATTTAGATTTACTCCATGTTTTTCTAAGTAATTTTGTTATTTTTCAGTAGAGCACCGAACTCGAATGTCTAAACTTTGTTCCCCGACAGTAGTTGGTATATGCTCACATTATTGTTGTTATTTTTATTCATATAATTTTCAGGCCTTTTGAAAGATATCAGCTTGAAAGTCAGACAGCAATGACTTCTTTTCCTAATGCTAACAACTTTATGGGAGTACAGAACAATTGCCAAGTATCAGAGACTTTCTTTGGTTCACAACAAGCTTATATTGCTTATGACAGATCATCGACACACAATGTGAGTAAACCATTCATCTTATTGGATTAGAAATATTATCCACTCATGTCCATATTTAAATAATACTCTTTTTTTAACTGATTATCGTGTGGGGAGCGAGCTGGCCTAGTGGTAGAGTGCAGGCTTCAGAGCCCGATGTTCCGGGTTATCCCGCCAATTACCAATGAATTTTATCCATGTGATAATGTAATGCCGCGACTCTCTAGGACTGGTCTGATCTGAAGTAATGTGTCCGGGCCAGAACCTAGCGTCCTCAGATGTGAAGGTGAGATATACATTGTGTATACAATAGATTTTGAGACTTATTTTTTAACAAAAAGTTGGGTACTATACTATGTCACTGTTGTAGCAAGACTCAAGAGGAAGAGGCCTGCCGTAATATCGGACCAGAGTAATATATATATATATATATATATATATATAAGCTGCAGCACATACACGGGATAGCATAGACAATAATAGACAATAGACAAAATCTTTATTGAAATATTCCTAGAGAACATTCGTCAGGTACATAAAATGTACAGCATGTACGTAAACTATTACAGTAATTTGCAATTACAATTAGAATTTTTTTTCTTTTTTTCTTCCTTTTTTCATGGTAGCTTATTGTTTAAGAATTCATCCTCAGAGTAGAACGGCTGGTCCATAAGACATGTTGTCAGGTGCTTCTTGAACAGATTGGGTTGTTCTCTCTTAAGGTGCTCTGGTAGGTTGTTAAAGTATAGAGCACCTTTGTAGGATGGTTTCTTCTCGTACAGACTCAGTTGGTGTTGTGGGAGGGAAAAATTAGCAGCCTGTCGTGTTTTGTGCTGGTGTATGTCTCTGTGTCTTGGCTGGGCTGTTTTAGTGGTGTGGATAATGACTTCTCTCATGTAGAGTGAAATTGATGTGAGAATTTTAAGGTTCTTGAAGGCTTCTCAGCAACTGTCTCTGTAGTTTAGGTCGGCAAGGCATCTAATTGCCCTTCTTTGCTTTAGGAGTACTCTTTCCAGGTTGCCTTTTGATGTTCCACCCCAAGTCGCAATGCCATATCTGAGGTGGGACTCGAATAGAGCAAAAAATGCAACTTTGGCTACTTCTGGGCTGCAAGCTTGCTTGATCCTACGTATAACGTAGAGACTTGAACTTAGCTTTTTGCAGAGCTGGTCTATGTGGGGTTTTCCATGACAACTTGGAGTCAATTATGATGCCTAGGTATTTTGTGTTATTTTGTGTTTGTAGTCCCGGTATTGTAATGTCTGTGTTGTTGCGTTTGGTGGTGAAAGTCATTTGAACGGTTTTGCTTTCGTTGTTGGAGTTGTGTGTTGGTTTTCTCTTCCAGATTTTCCATTGTTTTGTCCGCAAATGTGAGAACCGTGTCATCTGCGTACTTGGTGGTGTGTCCATCTTCCCCAATCCAACTAGGTAGGTCATTCGTGAGAAGGAGGAAAAGGACAGGGCCAAGTACTGATCCTTGGGGTACTCCTCTTTGCACGTCTACAGCTTTGGATTGGGCCTTATACTTTGCGTTGTTCTTTATGTAGGCTATTTCCACAAGCTGTTTCCGGTTACTAATGTAGCTTTTAAACCATTCTGCTGCTCTTCCTCTCACACCTAGTGTTTCCAGCTGTTTCTTTCCTGTTTCTTTCTATTGTTGGTCCATTTTTGTATTTTGGGTAGACTATTTTTAATTCATCTGGAAATTTTCCTTGTGAGAGTGATTTATTTATGAGGTCTGTCAGCGGTATTACTATTTCATTTTTACAGTTTTTTACAAGTTTAGCTGATACCTCAGCAGTTCCGGATGAATTTTTCATCTTTAGAGATTGAATGGCCTTTTGCACTTCTTCTTGTATGACCAGTCTGAACTGGAGTGTGTGATGTGTTGCTGGTAAGTGGTCTGTTAAGGCATTGGTTCTAGAGTTATTGTTATTTTGGAGTGTTCGGTCGGCTATTGATGAGAAAAAAAATCATTAAAACAGTTTGAAACTTCTATTGGGTCGTCTATTGTTTTATTGTTGACTTGAAGATGGATTTGGTTTTCAGTATTTGATCTCGCTTTTCTTTCTCGGTTTATTGTTTGCCACAGTGCTTTAGACTTGTTTTCAGCTTGGTTTATGTGAGCTGTGTTGTTTTCTTTCCGAAGCATTTTCAAATGCTGGTCGTACTCCTTTTTTTTAATAGTTGTTCTGGCTTTGTCTTCCATAAGTCCGGTTGTTTGCTCCTTTTCTAAGGCCTTTATATATTCATTTTTAAGTCTAGCCGATTCTTGATTCCAGCACTGTCTCCTTTATGTTGTTTAACTCTTGACGTTTTAAGAGGGCAGGTGTGGTTTAGTGTTGTCTGGATGATGTTGCTGAAATTGTTATAGGCTTCATCTACGTCATGAGTTTGTATTATAGTTTCCCAGTCTGTTCTTGTAGTTGTGTCTTAAAGTTATCTATTGTTGTTTTGTTGAAGATTAGTTTATTTTCTTTGATGTTGTTGATGATCGGTTTTCTAGTGATTATTTTTGCGATTTGTGCGGTATGGTCAGATAGTCCTGATGTTATAACTGAGGTTTCTATTTGTTGATTATCAATGTTTGAGCATATCCAGTCTATTGATGTTTCTGAGTCACTTGTAATTCGAGTGGGTGGTAGCCTCAGTCTTGAGATATTGAAGAAGTTCTTCAATTTTTTCGTTTTCATTGTCATCAACTAGGTTGTTTACATTGATGTCTCCCATTATTAATATTTGCTTATCCGTAGTGAGCACTGTTTCCAGTTGTTCAGAGAGTATATCAATGGCTTGGTCTAGTTTTGCACTTGGTGGCCTGTATACTCCGAAGACCAGCAGTGGATTCCTGTTTAGCTTCAGTTCAAAGAGCACAGTTTCAGTTTTGCAAATCAGTTCTGTTTCCTCGCTACTTGTGCATATGAGTGATACATGCTTTTCCCAGCCACTTCTTACGTAAGCGACCACTCCTCCTTTGACATGGGATTTCCTTGAGAAGCCTCCAATAACCTCTGTATTAAGTGTATTCAGTTTTTTAGGCGGGGTTTGTCTGTTTCCCTCTGTGTTTGGTGTATTCATTTTTTTAGGCGGGGTTTGTCTGTTTCCCTCTGTATTAAGTGTATTCAGTTTTTTGGGCGGGGTTTGTCTGTTTCCCTCAGTTTCAATCTGTTTGTGACAGCAGTAGTTTTTGTCTCTTTTGTGTCTTGAGTTCTCTCTTTTTAGTTGCTTTTTATACAATTTTTCCATATTCCCTTCTAAGGCCTTGATTTTTATTTTTTATGTGTAGTAGCATGTAGAAACCCTTAGAATACACTCATAGAAGTCGCCAAAGCTGGTGCCTTAAATTTCCACTTGTGTCCTAAAGACTATCTTTAGGCTACAATCACATTGGACGCACGCTTGCGCAAGTAATTTGGTGGCGTACGCCTAGAATCAAAATCTGACTGAGATCAACAGAAACAAGTGGTGACTTGTCCTTTGCTGCTCTAACTGTCCACCACCTGCAAAGTGCAGGCTTGCGCAAGCTTGATCAGACTCCGCACAGAAACAAAAATATTTTTTTTGCAGTTTCCAAGCCTGCACAAGTAGCAGGATCTCAGTTTAGAGTTCAGTAGATTCCTGAACCTGAACATTCAGTCGAGTGAAGTGATAGTGGGAAGTCCTAGTGCTCAGCTTCTTTGCTGATGGTAACTTACACATTTTTGAAAATTAGATTTCCTGCTTTGTGTAGGTGTTGTCCAGTATGTAATAGAAAGTATCTGGCATCATTCTGAAGTACTGGCAAAATTTCTTAATCTTCCTGTCATATCAAAAAATAAAACAATATCCTCGTTTTCGTCGTCTGACATATCCATTTTGACTGACCTGTTTATAATAATTAACTTGCAACTGCTTGCATTCAGTGTGAGCACATTGCTGTTCACACAAGCTTACGCAGGCGTGCGCCACCAAATTGCTTGCGCAAGCGTGCGTCTCATGTGATCCTAGCCTTTCACATGATCGTTGTGTATTCTTACAATAGATATTAAAAGAAAATAAGAACAACACTATTTTTTTACAAACTTTAAATGCTTTGGAAATCCTCAAATAATCTGTGCCTAAATGTAAATTCCTGTTGAAAAATTTTGAGATATTTTAGGTCCATTACAGAAAGTCCAAAAAAAATCTACCCTAGTTTAAAACAAACAGAAAACTAACTAAACAAATTGGTTTAAAAGGTCATGTCATCACTTTCAACTAAACTACACATCCTACTGGCCTTAAAATAAAATGATTTATGGTAGATCATGAGTTAGTGAGTTTTGTATACCGTATGAGCTATTATTATTATAAACACCTTTCTCAAAATCAATTTTCACTTTGTTTCTTACATGTTGTAATTTTAGGCTTTACATCAAGATAAGCTGCCTTCCTTTGCAACATTTGTTGGCCAAGAAAATCTGCCCATCCAAGGGGAATTCGCTGTGGACATGGACCTGGGTTTGTTGGCCAACTCGGCTATGAGGTGTCAGAAAGAGGAAGAGACCAATGAGACCATACACCAAGAAACGAACAAGTAATGCACATTGCTTTTTAATTCTTATCTATTTCAAGATATTATGCTTTGCATACCAGATTGACAGACATTTACTCCACAATGATTTTACTTAGCGCCACTTATTATACATTTTTTTTTTAAATTCTGATCGTCCAAATTTTTTATTTGAATTTCCAATAAAACCAAATCTAGCTGTTTAAGGACAAATGGAAATTGCAACTGGACATACGCAAATATGAGTAAAGAATTTGAGTTAATGTTGAATTTACTTTGTTTTCAAAGATGACATAGACAATCAGTAAACCCATATTAGATTTTCTTTTTCTTAACAGTGTCACCGGCCGAGAAATCGTGATAAACATATATTTATTTTGAACAAACTTTTGTATGGCCTATAGTGTGTCCAAATTCATGCTAAAGAAGTTCCAGGGTGTCCATCCAACCAGGAAAATTAACAACTGATCTTCAATTTTGGTGACCATAAAATCGGTACGGTAATTTTTTTTATGGGGACAAGAAAGTTAAAGTGTCACGGAAAACATGTTCGGGGTAAATAACCACGATGCATCCGTGATTGAAAGTAATGACATTGTTGTAATCACAGGAGATGACCACAACGCTGCTGTGGTCATTTTAAATAGCTACAATGTTGCCATGATCCCAGGAGATGACCCCGACTTTGACGGGTGATGATCTACACTAAATTTCTGAATACAATTTGTAAAAGATAAATTTTCACTTTCCCGTTGAATTCAGACGATGGCATATTGCTGCAAATATATGCATCTGATTTCAGCAGATATATGCATCTGGCTTCAGATTCAGATTCAGATTTTCGGCAGCAGGAATGGCACTTGCATTTAAATGGAAGTGTCCATAGTGGCCGCCGGTTTCCGAGCCGGCGCGCAGGTATCAAAAGTAGAATGTACACTAACACCACAATCACAATAGACGAAACAATGGAATCACTTACTAAAACTGTTGCTTGTTTCCATTAGCAAATTAAATTGAAAACTAGCTAGAAGTAGTTTTGAGAGGTTATCTTGAAATTAAAACCATTTCAGTTTTGTTACATAGTTTGTGCAAATAATGGTGCAACATGAGGAAAAATATAGTTCATCACACAGGCAAAACTCTCGCTCATTTTTAAATCAGGTCTTAAAGAGTCACTTTAGGCCCTAGTAATGAAGTATACTATTCACTCTTTCACCAAAGTTCCCTTTGTTTCCCCCCTAGAAATTCCCTTTGTTTACAAGTTTTATTCTTATTTTTCAGCATTGTTATGAATGATTTCAACGTCTTACCATCTTGCTCTACTACACTTGCTGAAAACATGCCAGCATGGATTAACTCACTTAGTAAAATGTCTACTGGATTGACTCCAAGTGTACTCAACAATAAGGTAAATAAAACTACTGTTATATCATTCAGTTCCCTGTAATGAACTTTATAAGTTCAAACTCTTGCAACTGTATATTTAATTAGATTCAGTATTAAGGAATCAATGCGTTAAAATTAAATATGAAAAAAATAGTTAATGTTCTATTTCTTTACCATTGTGGACTGGGGTGACAATTACTAGATGTGAAAGCTGGTAAAGTACTCTTCACCAGCACTTTAAGTTAGGTACGAGCTTAGAGGATTGGTACAGCAAGAGTTGTAAAATATTTCTTAATTTCTTTGATCAATAAACATTTTAGACCTACCACTTAGTTGTACCAAATATTGTTGTACAACTAAATCGGCTGCTAGACTTTAAAAGAATTGAAATAGAACACCTAGTATTTTAGATTTAGGATAAACCAGCCATCCCGTTACCAGACAAACAAATGTATAGTTATGGCATTATACATAGTTTAAATGAATAAACGATTCATACGCTATCTTTATCCAAATGTTGAACTAGTGTCGCACATGCTGAAATTTAGCAGCTGTCAATGTGAATAAATTGCGTCATGCCAAAGCTAATCTAGGAGGTTAGCGTCGGCTGCCAAAACTAAAACCAACTTAAAATTGAGACAACAAGAAAAATATGGCTTCAACCTTTCCTTACTTTTAAAATGACCGTTCCCTCAACAGAAGAATCATTGAGAATCTGTTAACAAATGGTCGACTCAGATAAAAATAAAAAATTCCTTCACGTTTATAAGATATAAGATGTTGTTATCTTTATTTATTTAGGATATCAAAACATGGCACCTTTATTGAATGTGCCAGCTATTTAATGTGTTTTCAGTTACCTTGTATATTTTAAACATTAATGTAAGGTATTTGCATGGAAATTTGAGTTTTTTGTTACCGTAGGTAGATACAGTACCACCTGCCACTATACCCACTTCACCGAAAGAATGTGAAACGCCTTTTGTTTGTGGGACAACAAACTACACTAAAGTATTAATGTCGCGAGCGAGCCACGAGGACTGAGGACGAAACAAATAGAATTAACTAACTACATGTAATTAATAGCTTACTTTTCACGTCACATTCCAGTAAATATGAAATAGTATAGTAGGCCTGCACATAATACATGAAAGCATAGATAAATAAGTTTACCGCACTAAATTTGTACAAAATAGCTCTTCCCCCCCCCCCCCAAAAAAAAATAAAAATATTCTATCATAGGAACGGGCCCCCCTGATACTTGTTACAATTGAGCTATCTTCTTTAAGTTGAATATCCTATAGCATGAAAAAGAAATGGACCAACAAGAGGTGTTCAAAAACCACAAAGAAGTGAAAGTACTTTTTGTTCATCAAGTAAAATTTCTAGATTTATAATATTGAATAAAAATTATACACATTTTATGTGTGAGATTTAAAAATAAACAATGGTAAAGCTAAGCAGAGAGCCTACAATATACAGGGTGGTCGCGAATAAGCGTTAAACTTGTTATTGCGTATGAAAGGAGCATAAATGGAACGTGTAAACGTGGTTTGAAAAAATATATCTCATACACACTCCCAGAGATGAGTTGTTTTAAGCTTTTTGAAAAAAATTACTTTATAGCAAAAATGTTGCATTTTTCGGGTTATTTTAAATTTTTCATCAACATTAAACAGTAGGCTACCATCGCGTTCTCCTCAAAATCTTGTATAAAAATACATGTACTTCATGCAACTTGCCTAAATCTGCGTAGCTACTTATTGAATAGAAATAAACATTTGTGTTTTTCAAAAAAATATTGAAAGATAGATACGTAAACATAAAACTTTAAAAAAAGCTTTTAAAGAGCAGCAAATACTTAACTGCTCCATAATCTAAGCCTTCAAACAATACCATAAAATGTAATATTTGACCCCAATAAATGTCCGCTATTCAAGTTTGAATGGCATAAAACACAGGTTATCAAAAACATTTTTCACTACCGCGCGTCTTAATAATGTTTTTTAGATTATTTAAAATAGCACCATATAAACGGATTTTGAAATCAACTTTTTGGCAATACTTTAAAAACTGGATCAATTAACTCAGCTATAAGGTCAATCTTATACCAATTCAAGTAAGAAATGTATGATATGAAATTAAAAATTGATAATAATCTATTTCGTAACATCAATTTGTTTTATCATTTACATGACAGCTATGATATGAAACTAAAAAATTACTTACCGTAGCCGTTTGATCTTATTTACACTACTGCATACTTCACTAAAACGACAAGGCCTATTAAACCTTTAAAAAACAAGATACAGATATTTGATAAACTTCAACTTAATAAATAAAAATAGCCTTAAAATAGGGTAAAATTAAAATATTACAGTTGTTAAGGATTAAATTGAACACATGACACAAATTATTTAGTTTCAGGTAATACAAATTCTCATTATTTTAGTAAGATTGTGATTGTACAGACATTTGATCAAATTCAAATTAAAAAATAAAAGTTAGCCCTAATAAATGGAAAAATTAAAAGATTAAATAATGGATTAAAATAAACAAAATCTATGAAAGACACAATTGATTTTGGGGATAATATACATTTCCAAATCTGTCGGAGAAGTGGAAAATTGTGTGGACATTTGAAACAAAAAAGGAGCTCGGTATTCTCTTAAGAAAATTTTTGAATTGATGGCCATTCTGCCTATTACAGGCTCTGCCTCTCATAGATTGAACAGTTACGCTATAGCTCATCTTCCCCCTGACCACTTCTGCTGCTCCAATGATCCTGTTCAAAAGTTCTTCTTCAGTGTTTACAGGGGTTGCGTAGACGACGGATTTCATAAGCCTCCCCCCAAACAAACAAAATCCATAGGGTTAAGATCCGGAGATCTGGCAGGCCAAGAAACCTCCTCGTCCGATCCAAGTGGGGAAGTTGAAGTGAAGCAATTCTCTCACTTGATTGGTGAAGTGGAGCTCCGTCTTGTTGGAAAATAATTTCGTGACAAAGAGCAGGGTCAATAGCATCCAGAATTTGAGGCAAATTATGCTGTTGCAAGTTGAGGTAGACATCTCCGTTCAGATTGCCCTGAAATTGCGAGGGCCTAATAATCTATCCCCAACCACTGCTGCCCTTACATTTATGGTTAATCTGTTTTGGAAGGACATCTCCCTTACTGTGTTTGGGTTTTCTGTTTCCACATATTCATGTTGTGGAAGTTAAACACACCTTGTATAGCAAACAGAGTTTTATCTGTCCACAAAATCTTCTTGAAAAAGTGATTTTGTTCGATATCACAGTTCAGGAGGTATCGACAGAAGTCTACCCGAGGGACGCAATCGTTAGGCTCAAGGCCTTGAACCTTAGTGAAGTGATAGAGATGAAAGTTATTTTTCTGCAAAACTTTCAAGACAGTTTTTTTACTTACACCAGCAGCCCTAGCAAGATTCCTACTGCTGATCTCCGGCTCTTCATCCACGCGCTTCAGGATATCTTCCTCCACGTAGACTCGATGCACAGTTCCCTGTTCTGATAGACGCTGGTGAAGTCTAGCTAATACTTGCGTACTCGGGACGCGCTGATCAGGATAACAAAGAGAGTATTCTCGTTGGGACTCACTTGAGTTTGCGTTGCTAGAACCATACACAAAATGTATTTCTGCATATTCTTAATTGGAAAACATGTTGTGAACCCTATTAAAAACCACTCAAAATGGTCTTATGTAGATCAATACATGATTTATACACAACAGAGAAACCCCAGATCATTGTTGAGACCACCAGCTGTTCTTTATAGTTTAATAATTTAAAATAATAAACAAGGCTGTAATATTATACACAAAACTGCTTTTATTAATAAAATGTTTTGGATAACCCGTGTTTTACGCCATTCAAACTTAAAAAGCGGACATTTATTAGGATCAAATATTACGTTTTATGGTATTGTTTGAAAGCTTAGATTATGGAGCAGTTTTTAAAAGTATTTGCTGCTCTTTAAAACCTTTTTTTAAAGTTTTTTGTTACGTATTTTTAAATATTTTTTTTGAAAAACACAATTTTTTTTCTATTTAATTTAATAAGTAGTTATGCAGATTTAGGCAAGTTGAAGTACATGTATTTTTATACAAAATGTTGTGGAGAACACGATGGTACTGTTAAATGTTGATGAAAGTTTTAAAATAGCCCGAAAAATTAAAACATTTTTGCAATTATGTCTATTTTTTTCAAAAAACCTAAAACAACTCATCTCTGGGGGTGTGTATGAGATATATTTTTTAAACCACGTTTACAAGTTCCATTTATGCTCCTCTTATACCCAATAATAAGTTTAACGCTTATTCGTGACCACCCTGTATTATTGAATAAAATATCAGTTTGATATAAATATTGATTCAAATATTTCAATAAATATGAACATTGATTTTCTGTTTAGGGTCTTTTCAAGAAGTATACAGCTTGCAAATACTTACAGTCACGTTCCATCCTCCAGCAGAAATAAGCAGATCTGCCTCAGACAGTATATACTGAATCCTTGTGCTTATTTGTAGGTTTATGATGTATGTTCAGACATCACTGTTGTGCAAGTATGGCTGCCATTTTCCATCCTCCAGTAGAAGTCAGCAAGTGGATCATGAGCAGATCATCTGCCTCAGACAGTCTATACATTGTTCTACTGTAGAGAAACTAATTTCTATGTTTATGTTGTATGTACAGACATCACTGTTGTGCAAGTATGGCTGTCCTTTTCCATCCTCCCGCAGAAGTCAGCCAAGTGGATCATGAGCAGATCATCTGCCTCAGACAGTCTATACATTGTTCTACTGTAGAGAAACTAATTTCTATGTTTATGTTGTATGTACAGACATCACTGTTGTGCAAGTATGGCTGTCCTTTTCCATCCTCCCGCAGAAGTCAGCAAGTGGATCATGAGCAGATCATCTGCCTCAGACAGTCTATACATTGTTCTACTGTAGAGAAACTAATTTCTATGTTTATGTTGTATGTACAGACATCACTGTTGTGCAAGTATGGCTGTCCTTTTCCATCCTCCCGCAGAAGTCAGCCAAGTGGATCATGAGCAGATCATCTGCCTCAGACAGTCTATACATTGTTCTACTGTAGATAAACTAATTTCTATGTTTATGTTGTATGTACAGACATCACTGTTGTGCAAGTATGGCTGTCCTGTTCCATCCTCCAGTAGAAGTCAGCAAGTGGATCATGAGCAGATCATCTGCCTCAGACAGTCTATACATTGTTCTACTGTAGATAAACTAATTTCTATGTTTATGTTGTATGTACAGACATCACTGTTGTGCAAGTATGGCTGTCCTGTTCCAACCTCCAGCAGAAGTCAGCAAGTGGACCATGAGCAGATCATCTGCCTCAGACAGTCTATACATTGTTCTACTGTAGATAAACTAATTTCTATGTTTATGTTGTATGTACAGACATCACTGTTGTGCAAGTATGGCTGTCCTGTTCCAACCTCCAGCAGAAGTCAGCAAGTGGATCATGAGCAGATCATCTGCCTCAGACAGTCTATACATTGTTCTACTGTAGATAAACTAATTTCTATGTTTATGTTGTATGTACAGACATCACTGTTGTGCAAGTATGGCTGTCCTTTTCCATCCTCCCGCAGAAGTCAGCCAAGTGGATCATGAGCAGATCATCTGCCTCAGACAGTCTATACATCGTTCTACTGTAGATAAACTAATTTCTATGTTTATGTTGTATGTACAGACATCACTGTTGTGCAAGTATGGCTGTCCTGTTCCATCCTCCAGTAGAGGTCAGCAAGTGGATCATGAGCAGATCATCTGCCTCAGACAGTCTATACATTGTTCTACTGTAGATAAACTAATTTCTATGTTTATGTTGTATGTACAGACATCACTGTTGTGCAAGTATGGCTGTCCTGTTCCAACCTCCAGCAGAAGTCAGCAAGTGGACCATGAGCAGATCTGCCAGAGTCAGCCTATTCAGTGCCCAGTCGTTGGCTGCAATTTTGTGACTCAGCTGTCTTCCATAACTCCCCACATATTTCTTGTAAGTACTTTTCTGAGATAGGCTTCCAACTAGTTATTTCGGTTTTAGTAATTCCTCATAGATACTTTTCCTATAAAAAATCTTGAATGGACTGTAAAGATATTTTAAAGGGTCTAAAAACGTATTTCAAAATTTTTCAATAGCAACATTATTGTAATGCAAATTTCAAATCATGAGCCACTTAAGTAATACGACTACTTGAAAAGATAACTGTATTTCTATAAGACATATACACATCTAAAAATGTGAATGTGCCATGTGCTCTTTATTTTGATAGCTCAACCAACCAACTGTACAGTGTACATTTATAAGATAAATAAAATTGATACGTAGTAGCAGGGCATAGTCCCTAACATGTCCCTTAGTACAAGTAGACCAAACAAACGCAAGCAAAAGATTTAGCTGGACGCGTGGTTTTGATGGGTCTAGAAGGGTCATTTTTAAATTGAGGGATAAAATGAAAACAACAACAACAAAATAAAAAATTAATATTTATTTAATGGGATGTGTTGAAATGACTAGTAAATATGATTTACATTCACATTTTGGCACCAGCAGAGCTTAATTATACAATTTTATATTTTTTAACTATTTTTTTGTGCCTTGGTACAAGAGAAAACGTCAGTTTCGTAACTCACAAAAAAACAATAAAAATACCAATATTTATTAAAAAATTGATTCAAAGGAATTACGTTTGTCAAGATGTAACATACAAGTAAAGATTAGGATGCATAATAATTCTATTAACACCAACATATTTACTTATATTGCAAATAATCGTATTCAAATAAAAAAATTTCTCCAAATGCAGACTAAAATAACCTTTTTAACCTAAAATCAATTGTATTTGTAATGAGAATTATTTTTAATCTGACTATTATAACCAATGAAATGATAATATTGACCTTATTTTGTTCAAAAAGTTGTTTTTACTTTAAAAATAAATATTTTGTAACCGTAACAAAACTGATTAAGAAACTGATGAGGAGTATCGAAAATGACTACTTACGTAACGAAAATGACGACTTACGTAACTTAACTGATGCTCCAGGCAAAGCCACACTAAAAAACAGGCTGTAATGCTCGTCAAGCATGACGTCACGATAGAAGGCGGCAATGACGTATTTCAGGTTATACTTTTTTTCCATGAAATATTAAAACAAGCAGCTGATCACAAACGGCAAACATTACGTCATAGCCGTCTTCTATCGTGACGTCATGCTATACGAGCATTACAAAACAGCTAATGAGCCAATTCTCAAATGATAAAAGCGGAAAATAACCTTAAAACTGGTAAACCAACAACTGCTATTGAAATACACTCTTGTCATTGTCAATAATTCTAAAAATATTATACAAAAACATGGAAAAATACATAAAAAACAGTCTTATTGGTGCAGATTAATGTCTGGCTCGAACTTGTAATAGAAACGGTCCCCTTTTATTACAAGTGTAGGAGGACTGAGCACTGATATTATGTCCGTATAGTGGACATATGAAATGTCCAAATCAACTGTTTTGAATAAAGCTGTTGCATCTCCGGCCCTTCTTAGGAATGTCACTTGACCTTCGCCATTATCGTCGAGAGATGATATACAGACGGCAGCATAAGGGTAGGGAATGTTTTTTTCATTCTTCACATTAACAATTATGAAAATCCCAGCTTGGATGGAAATTAAATACCTCTTTTACTAATCTAATGTTAAATACAATTCTGTACATCATGAAAATAAACTATGTTTCAGTTCATAAACACAATGTATTTTAGTAATACTGTAGGCCTAAACCATGTAAGGAAGTGTTTAAGGAGTAAACTAACTTGGGAGAAGTAGATTAAAACGTTTAAAAATATATAGCCTAATTTACTCACCAACAGATTATTTTTGGAAGTCTTCAAGGCTTCTACTGTTAAAATTCTCTTCTCTGTTCTCAAAATTGTATTCATCGTGTAGGCCATCGCCATTGACATTTATATTTTCATTAACACTTTCATCTTCCGACGAATAAATATCTGAAACTTTTAACTTCTTCTTCACAGTCAGGTTTGATTTTGTTCTAGAGTCAGATTCAATTTCGGTGCATTTTATTTCCATTAGGTTAAAGTTTCGACATTTCCGGTTGGCAGCACAATCAAAACAAGAAAGTCTCCTCCCATACATAGCTGCACTACCACACGTAATCTGTCTTATGCTCATTATCCCTTTGACTTCTGGGATGTTTTTAGGGAGCAATTCTTTTGCATTTTCAATGGCTGTATATGGTATTTCAATTAGACGAGTTTTACTCTTTTTGCCTAATGCGGCTACGATATCAGCTGCACAAGTGATGTCTTTGCCATGTTTAACTTCCAAGTCTGAAGTTCTCTTCAATGAGCCCCACACACCGTCCATGGCTCTCTTACCATGAGCTGGCTCACTGAAGTTCCAAGTAAATGATGTTAATTTCGGAAAGAAAAGTGGCAGCAAAGATTTCATTAGGTATATATTAGTTCTGTTCCTATATTGGGAAGAGGGGCTGTCCGAGAAAATATGTATAGTGTGGGTATCAGGAAATAAAGTACTGCTTTCTTCAAAGATTGGTTTCATGTGCTCCCAAATAGCATGGGCGTGGTGGTCTAGGTTATCAGATACAGTGCAAAACGTATACGTGATTGTTTCCCCTAGAGAATTGTGATACCTCAACCCAGTGTGCAAAGATACTTGCCGTTTTGAGGCTCCAAAATGTGTGGCTTGGATTTCATTGTCGTACTTACAGACATAGTTCTGGGAGAAATCAATATGATATATTAATACTCCTTCTCCCAGGTCATTCTTTAATTTTTTAAATTGTTTTGCTTGGTGTCTTAAATTAAACACATGTTTTTTGAAAACATTTAAGGAATTTAGGAAAATATTTTTAACAACTGGCAAGGTTTCAGTAAATTCACGTTTCACGGTCAGTTTGATTTTCCTCTCAACTCCTTTTATGACTCTGGTTTCATAGTCATTTATCCATTTATAAAACTTTAAGTCATCAGTTGAGTTTAAATTTAAATCTACTGCTTTGCCTTTACACCTACTGCATGACCCAGTCATGCAGTTTTCGTCTTCAGAATCGCAAACAGTTGAAGCCACAATTTGATTTTGATCTGACGATTGTACTAAATTAGCATTCTTCATGGCATTTAAAAGCAATTGAAAGTTTTCGTGTATTACACATGCACATGTTTCCCTGTCTCTGTTATTTGGGGGCTGCACCCAAAAAGGTCTCACACGAGTAAACGTGGTATAAGATACCTTAGGCCCATATTCATTCACAAATTTGGTGTATAGATTTGTCATTGAATCTAAGAGAATGCGTCGTTGTTTTTTGCAATTTCCTTTTTTTACTTGGTCCTTTTTGCCAGGACACATCTTAAATACTAAATCGTCCTCAAAAAATTGTTGTATTATCTTAGCGTCGTTTACCTTTACAGTGGTATAAGTTTTCCGGGAGTACTTAACATCTACCGTGTCTGTAGTGCTGTATTTGTTGTATTTATAAGGTAGAATGTGTTTTAAGCTGTTTTGTAATCTATACTTTCTAATGATTTTTGTGCCAATCACTTTGCGTATTAATTGTCTTTCTTTCGTTTTCGGGCTTACAGACTTTAATTGTGATTTAATTTGCTTCTCCAATGCAAACCCAAGGAACAGTTGCCTTTTTACAGGTGAGGATACATTATCCCTTCTTAGTAATTCCCTCACACGCTTTGAAGGTGAAGGGGAGTCAAATGTTGAGGTATTTTGATTTTGCTTCTTTTGTCTTTGTGCCCGTTTTTTATATTTCGCTAGTTTCCTCTCAAGATCCTTAATCTTTTCGTCTTTCTTTTTTAATTCCCTATATGCTTTAGCTCTATCCCTTCTTACTTTTTTTCTCCCACTTACTTGCTGCCTAGATATTTGTGACAGAGACAGAGGCCCACATTCCTGGAGTTCATCCTCAGATTGGGGTGGTGTATTTTATGTGGCTTTTTTGAGCCTTTTCTTCTTGTCACGGTACTTCTTTGAATCTTCTTTCCATTTCTTCCTTCTCTCCTTTTGCTCTTTTGCACTTAGATCAGTAATCAATTTTACTTTCCTCTCGTTCTTTCTTTTACCTCTCCCTAGCTTTCTTCCTATACTCTTCTTTTTTCTCGTCAGTCATGCTGTCCCTATATTTTTGCTGTCGAGCAGCGGAAAGTTTGTTTTGCCTATCATACTTGTCAGATTTGGTTTTTGTGGCTTTCTTTTTTTTGTTTTCATATTGATCGGCTCTGAAAACAAAAAAAATTACAAGTCAAAAACCAAAATCCAAATTGTTTTTCCACGATAGCTCGAATAGAAAGCAAACATTCATACTGATTTGTATTCAGTAACTTGGAAAGTTAATAAAATTGCCTCATTCAAAAAAGTATGGTACATTTAATGTAACATTATTTTGACTAAGCCTATTTTGGATTAAAAATTGTATTTATTGCATCTTTTAATGATGTATTTTATTCAGTCCTTTTTAGTGAACTACCTTAAAACAGCTTTGTTCAGTAAAATTACGTCAGTTAAGTGATGATTCCATCAGTTTCGTTACGTAACGAATGTGTATTCCATCAGTTTCGTAACATAACGAAACCTGATCATGTGATCGTCAATTTCGTCACGGAACGAAACTGACGGTTTCGTAGTTGGGATTTTTTTCCCGCTACATAGCAGTCTACACGGAGTGGAAACCTTATAGGTTATGTTCATACTGAACACTGGCTGTAAGTAAACCTTTATCTGGATAATAAGTATTACACGTTTTAATATATTGCTGTAACGAAACTGATGCTTACTAAAGGTGGGAATGTTGCTGAAAGTCAACAGTCCCGGAAGATCAAATAATTTATACCTGTGCCGCTAGGTCAAAAACTACAATGTTTGCAGTGTCTGTAGATCAAAAGTCCCAGTAAATCAAATAGTACAGTCCGAGCTAAAAACGTGGTCTATGTTAAAGCAATTGACTTA